TCTCTCTCTCTCTCTCTCTCTCTCTCTCTCTCTCTCTCTCTCTCTCTCTCTGTGTATATATTGTAGATCTATCTCTTACTTTCTCTGTCGCGTCCAGTTACGGCTTTTATCGGTTTTGTTAGGTTTGTTGCTTACCACCTCTCTTTTGTGCACAGAAATTAAAAACAAAAATCGGAAGCTGAAGTTGACCTCGGCAGCCATCGTGCCTGTGGCGCGAAAGCGAAACTGGATATCTCTGGGGAACGTGTTGTAGATCTGGGCCTTGATCTGGATTCAGAACGTAAGGTAATGATTAGATAGCTGTTGTATTTTATCGTAGCTAAACGCTGGTCAGTGTAGTATAGCTCTAGATCTAGATAATGTATCGCGTAGAACCAAACAAGACTTACAGAGTCTCCTGAAGGAGAGGGACTACATCTAGATCTGGATCTAGACCTCGGACTAAGCCTAGGCTTGCCTCTCCTTCTTAGTTCTTAGTCTAGATCTAAATCTTCGGTGTGTCCCGGAGTTCTGCGCTCATAGAAAAAGGCTCACATTGTGCGTAATTTGTTTCAGTCACCAACATCGTTTGAAAGTGAGAGGCACATTAAGTCGTTGTCTTGTCATACCCCCTTAATCCCCGCCAACTCAATCTCCACCCACTCTCTCTTTCTCTCTCTCTCTCTCTCTCTCTCTCTCTCTCTCTCTCTCTCTCTCTCTCTCACTCACTCACTCTCTTTTTCCCTCTCTCATTTCTTCACTCTCACTCTTTCTCTCTCTGTCTCTCTCTCTCTTTTCTCTCTCTTTCTCTCTCTCTCTCTCTTCTCTCTCTCTCTCTCTCTCTCTCATTTCCCCACTCATTCTCTCTTTGTTTCTTTTTCTTTCTCTCTCCCCCCCCTCTCTCTCTTTCTTTTCTTCCCTCTTTGTCTCTCTGTCTCTCTGTCTCTTTCTCTTCTTCCCTCTGTCTCTCTCTCTGCCTCTCTCTCTGCCTCTCTCTCTGCCTCTCTCTCTTTGTCTTTCTCAGTCTCTATCTCTCTCTATCTCTCTCTGTCTCTATGTCTCTCTGTCTCTTTCTTTCTCTCTCTCACCCTCTCTCTCTCTTTCTTTTCTTCCCTCTTTGTCTCTCTGTCTCTCACTCTCTCTTTCTCTTCTTCCCTCTGTCTCTCTGTCTCTCTGTCTCTCTGTCTCTCTGTCTCTCTGTCTCTCTGTCTCTCTGGTTGATTGCACACCACCCCTCGTCTGTGCTCAGAAATAGAAAAAACATAAACATTTGGAAGCGGAAGCCGCGTTGTCTCTGATTCGAAAGCGAAACTGCATACAGTTGCGAACGTGTTGTCTGTGCCTTGTTGATCTGAATTCGGAACCTAAGGTAATGATCAGATGGCTGTGGTGGTTTATTGTAGCTGAAAGCTTTGCAGTGTAGACTAGTATAGATCTATATCTAGACTCTAGATGATGTATCGTGTAGAACCAAACAAGACCCACAGAGTCTCCCGAGGGAGAGAGACCAGATCTAGACCTCCTTAGATCTATATATCTAGATATAAATTATTATAAATATAAATATAGATCTAGAATCTAGAATGTAGACCTAGGCCTAGGCTTGCCTCTCCTTCTTAGTAGTCCCTCACTTATTATAACTAACTAATGTCCACTGGAACTGCATGCAATGTACTGGCCTTTGTAGAGCTAAATCTAAGTTTGTTTGAAGTTTGATGGGAATAGCACACAGTGAGCCTAACCCTAATTACTAATACTAATACTAATTTAGTAAAACAAATTTAAGCTTCCTCTATTACCGAGTATTGGCATTCACTAATTAATGACTAGATTCTAAATCTAATGGCAATGTTAGATCTATCTCAGCTGGGCACTTTGTAGAGCTAAATCTAGGGTTGTTTAGAAAAGCGTTTGATTGTATATCACACGGTGAGCCGAACGCTTAGTCAACCAAGTAAGCTTCCTATTACTATTATTATCATTACCGACTTAGAATGACATTCACTAACAAATGACTATAATGGCAATGCTCAATGCTAGATCTAGGGTTGTTTAGTGTTTGATTGGAAATGTCACACAGTGAGCCGAACGGTTTTAACTAATTAAAAGTTGGGGGCTCGGGTGACTAATCAACTAAGTGAGTAGGCCTAGATCTCGAACCGTCATTTCAGTTTGGGAAATTTTTCGCAGCTCGTCCGACACAAAAGCATAAGCCTAGATTTTTTGTCGAATAACTTTCGATCCCGTTTACTTTTAACCTAGATTCTCTAAACGGCACTCTTCGAGGGAAGTGGTCCCGGCTTAACACCATAGAAATAACACTAAGACTTGTAGTCAGAAACAAAAACAGAAGTCGAGTAAAAAAGCTGTCTTCGGTAATTTTTTTCCCTTACTTCAAGTTTAGAATATTTCCCACATTAATTTTTTAATCGGCTTCCTTTTTTGTTTCCGATTGCAAGTGTTATTTCTACGGAATTAGGCCGGGACTACTTCTCCCGAAGAGTGCCCTCTAAACGAGTGACAACCCCGTTTTGTCTTTTCGAGCAAAACTTTTTTCAACGTTATAGATTGGTGTGGAAGGGCACTTTTCTTAGAGAGGCCAGAATATTGCTCGATATGAGTCGGTCGGAACTATTTTCTTACGGATATTGATAAGTAAATGGGACAAACTGATACAAGACCGGGAACGGTAGCTCGATAACATTAACAATCAGTGCCGTCTGTCTCAAGTCATCCGTAAGAAAATCGTGTCTTTTCATCGGACAGGCTACAGCACGGGCAATAATAGTTTTGGTGTCGACGGACATCCCCGCTCCGTCCCTCATGTTTAAACCGACTGCGTCAGTGTCGTTCTGTAGGTATTAATTTTAAATAACGTTTCCAAGCCCTCTGACCTGGTAACCGTAACAGTTTTGGTCAGGTCCATTTTTCCCCTTCTCTTTCCCCCGATCTCGGAATCTTCGCGGACGCAGTATCATGTCTGGAGAGGAGCAGCCCCAGCCGTTTGCCAGCGACGAGGAGACGGTGAGTTCTCACGCATCCTCAAACCCACACACACGCGCACACACACACACGCACGCACACTCGCGCGCGCTTGGCAGTCCGACCCGAAATAGGTATATTTCAATTTCATTAAAACATTTCCAGTCGAAAGTCGGGTTTGAGTTGTTTTCTTATTCGTACATTCATATAATATAAGTGAAACAAATTATCGATAAAAGACCAATGCGACAGCCATATACATATATTGTACGCACACAAACACACGCACATGCATGCATGCGCGCACGCACGCACGCATGCACACACGCTTGCACGCATGTACGCACACACTCAGGAAAAAGAGAGAGGGGAGAGAGAGAAAGAGAGGGAGAGAGAGTCAGCAGCACTTCCCGGTGTGTCCCGTAGGTCTGCGCTCATAGAAAAAGCTCACTTTGGGCGTATATTTTTCCAGTCTAGCGGAAAATACAAATCATCGCCAAACCTTTCGTGAAAGAGAAAAAAATATTTTGAAAATAAGGGGCAAAGATGTTGTCACCCCATAACCCCTAATCCCCCCCTCTCTCTGCTCCAACCCACCCTCTTTATCTCTCTCTCTCTCTCTCTCTCTCTCTCTCCCTCTCTCTCTCTCTCTCTCTCTTCCACTTTCTTTCCGCTCTCTCTCTTCTCTTCTTTTTCTCTTCTCTTCTCTCTCTCTCCTCTTCTCACTCTCTCTCTCTTTCTCTTCTCTTTTCCTTCTCTCTCTCTCTCTCTCTCTCTCTCTCTCTCTCTCTCTCTCTCTCTCTCTCACTCTCTCATTAGAACCAGAAAACCTTCCTCTATAACACACTGATAATCGGCATGAATCGGAAAGAAAGAAATTTGTTGAAAATACCGTTTAATGGTATATTATCGAAATTATCAAATATCGATACCCGATTATTTAAGAATCGCACGTCATATCTCACACTGCAAACATTTTAAACCACTGTTTCCAGGCTCTGTTCCTTAAAACTTATGTTTGTTATCCTAAATATGGGAATTTGAGTTCTAAGCCTAAAGATTTTTAACGGGGAGCTAAAAAATTTGAGTAGTAATGTACATTGAGTAATCGATACTAGTAGCTGTTTACAAATGAGAGATGAGAGAAAGTGGTGGTGGGGAAGCAGTAAGAAGAAGAAGAAGGAGAAGGAGAAGGAGAAGGAGAAGGAGAAGAAGAAGAAGACGAAGAAGAAGAAGACGAAGAAGAAGAAGAAGAAGAAGAAATTATTACACTACAGACCGAAGTACAGACGAACAAAAGCACAGAAAAAAAGACGAGGTGTGCAAATCTGCTCTTCCCGTTGTGTCCCGGAGGTCTGCGCTCTTCGATAAAGACGCACTGTATGCGTATTTTATTTCAGTGGACAAACCCTTCGTGAAAGAGAAAGACAATCGTTTGAAAGTTGTTATCTCCCCATACACCTACCCCCCCCCCCTCATCTTTCTCTCTCTCTCTATATATATATATTTCTCTCTATCTATTGCTCTCTCACTCTCTATTTCTCTCTCTCTATCTTTCTCTCTCTGTCTCTCTCTCAATATATTTCTCTCTAGCTCTCTCTCTTTCTCTTCCCCCCCTCTCTCTTTCTATCTCTCTTTCTCTCTCTCTCTCTCTCTCTCTCTCTCTCTCTCTCTCTCTCTCTCTCTCTCTCTCTCTCTGTATTTTATAATTTAACTCGCTTGGTCTTTTACGTTCAGTCACGGCTTCCATCGCCTTTCTTCGGTAGATTGCACACCACCGCTCGTTTGTGCTCAGAAATTAGGAAAAACATAAACATTTGCCAAGCGGAAGCCGCGTTGTCGAAAGCGAAACTGCATACAGTTGCGAACGTGTTGTCTGTGCCTTGTTGATCTGAATTCAGAACCTAAGGTAATGATCAGATGGCTGTGGTGGTTTATTGTAGCTGAAAGCTGTGCAGTGTAGGCTAGTATAGATCTAGATCTAGATTTAGACTCTAGATGTTGTATCATGTAGATCTAGAACCAAGGGAGAGAGACCAGATGTAGACCTAGAATCCAGACCTAGGCCTAGGCTTGCCCCTCCTTCTTACTTCTTCTTAGTCCCTAACTTATTATAACTAACTAATGTCCACTGGAACTGCATAGGCTAGTATAGATCTAGATCTAGATCTAGATCTAGATCTAGATTCTAGATGTTGTATCAGTCGTGTAGAACCAAACAAGACCCACAGCTAGGCTTGCTTCTCCTTCTTAGTACTTCTTAGCTCTTAGTCCCTAACTTAGTATAGATCTAGATCTAGATCTAGATGTAGTCTGTAGACTGTAGTGATTCTAACTTATGACCACTGGCACTGCATGCAGTGTACAGGGGTAGGACTGGCCTTTGTAGAGCTAAATCTAGGGTTTTGTGTATAATGGGAATAGCACACGGTGAGCCTAACCTTAATACCTAATACTAATACTAATACTAATACTAGATCTAGATCTAGATCTAGATCTAGAAATCTAGAAGATTCTAATACTAATTTATAACTAATATTTAATCGAAGTGGCTAGCCGTACTTAAGTACGGCTAGACTGAGAGTCTAGCCGTACTTAAAGTTAAGTACGGCTAGACTGCCAGTCTAGCCTACTTAGATCTAGTTCTAGGTTTGGCCCTATCGACTCAAGCCTGTTAAGTACACAGGTCTCATTAGATCTAGAATCTAGATCTAGATCTAGATCTAGTAATTATTCAGGTTGAAATGCATGCAAGTCAGAAAGGCACCTTTTTGTTTTGTCTGAAATACAAATACTTTAGGCATTGCAAACTAAAAATTTCTTTTACAATTCAGCCATCAATATTAAGTACGGCTAGCCTGACAGTCTAGCCGTCCTTAAGTACGGCTAGCCTGGCTAAGTACGACTAGACTGCCAGTCTAGCCGTACTTATCTTAGGCCCTATTAACATTAGAAAACAGGAGGTTTAAAATACAAATACATACACTGTCATTAAGGCACCTGGTTTCGTCTCAAATACAAATACTTTAGGTAGGTACTGCACACTAAAAATGTATATTTACAATTCAGTAGGCCTATTTTTTTGTTAAATGGTCAGTCTAGCCATTATAAGTACGGCTAGACTGCGAGTCTAGCCGTACTTCTGCCAGTCTAGCCGTCATTAAGCACGGCTAGCCTCTTCCATATTTAATAGGCGAGTCTTGTGGCTATTCTCACCCGGCAAAACCACATATTTCTACACTGTGATAACAGAAAAATTGTAGAATTCTGTGCCGTGAACAAACGTTCCATTACAATTGTAGCCTACTAAAAGCGTACAATTTTGTCTGTGGGCAGTGGAGAGAGAGAGAAAGAGAGAGAGGAGTAGCGCGAGAATTTCCGGGCAAAACAAAATGGCGACCCGCGTAGTTCGGCTCGATTCGAAAAGTTAAATAGCCGTAGCATCTTTGTAGACAACCAAATTTATTTACTTTTGTGTTTTAACATCATTTTTTAACTTTGTTTTGGTCAATTTGATCGTCCACACCGATAGACAGTATTCAGAAAGAGACGGAGAGAGAGAGAAGAGGGGAGGAGTTGATCTTGCGAGAACTTCCGGGCGGGTGAGAATAGCCACTTTCTATTTAATAAAACAAAAGCTTCACTAAGTAATGACTAGATCTAGATCTAGATATGGATTCTAGATCAAGATCTAATAGCAATGCTAGATCTATCTGAGCTGGGCACTTTGTAGAGCTAGATCTAGGGCTGTTTAGAAAAGTGTTTGATTGGAAATATCACTCGGTGAGCCAAAGGCTTAGTCAACCGAGTGAGAATCCTATTATTATATTATTACCGACTAATGGCATTCACTAACAAATGAGTTATCAAACTTCAAACAAACTTAGATTTAGCTCTACAAAGGCCAGTAATGGCAATGCTTAATGCTAGGACTTGGCTTTGTACAGCTAGATCTAGGGTTGTTTAGTGGTTGATTGGAAATGTCGCACGGTGAGCCGAACGGTTTTAACTAATTAAAAGATGGGGGCTCGGATGGCTAAGTAAGTGAGTGGGTCCAGATCTAGTGAGTTTAGACTCAACAGTAATGTTAAGCAAATGTCGGTGTTTGACACCGTTAACCAAACTGCCCCTCTGGGATCAATAAAATTGTAATTTATAAATGTATCTCTTTAATGGTTCACTTTGAAGTCAGTATTCCATGAGTAAGAAACGCGAGTGATTCTTGAATTAAAAAGTGGAGACCTCGAACCGTCATTTCAGTTTGGGAAATTTTCTGCGCTCGTCCGACGCAAAAGCATAGGCCTAGATTTTTTGGCGAATAACTTTCGATCCCGTTTACTTTTAGCCTCGTTTCTCTAAACGGCATTCTTCGAGAGGAGTGGTCCCGGCTTAACTCCAAAGAAATAACACTAAGAGTTTGTAGTCGGAAACAAAAACGGAAGTAGGGTAAAAAAGCTGTCTTCGGTATTTTTTTGTCGTTCGATTTTAGAATATTTTCATCCTGATTTTTTTCTTCATCGGGTGACATTGTGACCCTGGCAACTCAAGCCAGCTTTTTTAATCGGCTTCCGTTTGTGTTTCCGATTGCGAGTGTTATTTCTATGGAATAAGGCCGGGACCCCTAATTCTCCCAAAGAGTGCCCTCTAAACGCGTGACAACCCCGTTTTGTCTTTTCGAGCAATACTCATTTCAACGTTACAGATTGGTGTGGAAGGGCACTTTTCTTGAGAGGCCAGAATAAAATATTGCTCGATATGAGTCAGGCGGAACTATTTTCTTACGGATATTGATGTAAATGGAACAAGACCGGGAACGGTAGCTCGATAACAATCGGTGCCATCTGTCCCAAGTAATCCGTTAAAAAAAGCGTGTCTTTTCGTTGGACGGGCTACAGCACGGGCAAAAATAGTTTTGGTGCGGACGGACATCCCCGCACGGAACCTCAATTTTTAAACCGACTGCGTCACTGTCGTTCTGTAGGTATTAATTTTAAATAGGGAGTGTATACAGACCCGGTAACCGGGTACAAAGTCACGAAGTATACAGATCCGGTAGGGGAACTCTTTTGTGAATTCGGAAAGTTTCAGCGCCCTCTTGGCTCAGGTTAGACCTAGACCTAGGTTCTTCTAGATCTAAATCTATGGCCTAGGTCTAGATAGACGCACATAAATCATTGATTTCGAGGTTAGCCTAGATCTAGATCTAGATCTCTAGACCTAAATGAAAATTGCGGATGTCTTTTTCATGAACGATCGTTTTTCCTCCGTTTTTAGACTTGGAGGAATCACAATTTGAAGAAAAGAACAGTGTCATAATTTCAATCGAGCAGTCTCTCTCTCTACTCTTTCTCTCTCTCTCTCTCTCTCTCTCTCTCTCTCTCTCTCTCTCTCTCTCTCTCATAATTTAACTCGCTTGGTCTTTTGCGGTCAGTCACGACTTCCATCGGTTTTCTTTGGTAGATTGCACACCACCCCTCGTTTGTGCTCAGAAATAGAAAAAACATAAACATTTGCCAAGCGGAAGCCGCGTTGTCTCTGATTCGAAAGCGAAACTGCATACAGTGCGAACGTGTTGTCTGTGCCTTGTTGATCTGAATTCAGAACCTAAGGTAATGATCAGATGGCTGTGGTGGTTTATTGTAGCTGAAAGCTGTGCAGTGTAGGCTAGTATAGATCTAGATCTAGACTCTAGATGTTGTTACGTTGTATCGTGTAGAACCAAACAAGACTCAGTCTCCCGAGAGAGAGAGAGACCACATCTAGATCTAGATCTAGAGAAATCTAGATCTAGACCTAAAATCTAGACCTAGGCCTAGGCTTGCCTCTCCTTCTTAGTTCTTCTTAGTCCCTAACTTATTATAACTGATGTCCACTGGAACTGCATGCAGTGTACTGGCCTTTGTAGATCTAAATCTAAGTTTGTTTGAAGTTTGATGGGAATAGCACACAGTGAGCCTTACCCTTTACTAATACTAGATCTAGATCTAGATTACTAATACTAGATCTAATACTAATTTAGTAAAACAAATTTAAGCTTCCTCTATTACTGAGTATTGGCATTCACTAATTAATGACTAGATCTAGATTCTAGATCTAATGGCAATGTTACATCTATCTCAGCTGGGCACTTTGTAGAGCTAGATCTAGGGTTGTTTAGAAAAGAGTTTGATTGTATATCACACGGTGAGCCGAACGCTTAGTCAACCAAGTAAGCTTCCTATTACTATTATTATCATTACCGACTTAGAATGGCATTCTCTAACAAATGACTATAATGGCAATGCTTAATGCTAGATCTAGGGTTGTTTAGTGTTTGATTGGAAATGTCACACGGTGAGCCGAACGGTTTTAACTAATTAAAAGTTGGGGGCTCGGGTGACTAAGTGAGTAGGCCTAGATCTAGATCTAGATCTAGAATCAAGTGAGTTTAGACTCAACAGTAATACCCTTGTGGGATCAATAAAACTGTAATTTGTCAATTTATGTCTTTACTACTTTGAAGTCAGTATTCCATGAGTAAGAAACGCGAGCGATTCTTGAATTAAAAAGTGGAGACCTCGAACCGTCATTTCAGTTTGGGAAATTCTTCGCAGCTCGTCCGACACAAAAGTCATTCACTAACAAATGACTATAATGGCAATGCTTAATGCTAGATCTAGGGTTTGTTTAGTGTTTGATTGGAAATGTCACACGGTGAGCCGAACGGTTTTAACTAATTAAAAGTTGGGGGCTCGGGTGACTAAGTGAGTAGGCCTAGATCTAGATCTAGATCTAGAATCAAGTGAGTTTAGACTCAACAGTAATACCCTTGTGGGATCAATAAAACTGTAATTTGTCAATTTATGTCTTTACTACTTTGAAGTCAGTATTCCATGAGTAAGAAACGCGAGCGATTCTTGAATTAAAAAGTGGAGACCTCGAACCGTCATTTCAGTTTGGGAAATTCTTCGCAGCTCGTCCGACACAAAAGTCATTCACTAACAAATGACTATAATGGCAATGCTTAATGCTAGATCTAGGGTTGTTTAGTGTTTGATTGGAAATGTCACACGGTGAGCCGAACGGTTTTAACTAATTAAAAGTTGGGGGCTCGGGTGACTAAGTGAGTAGGCCTAGATCTAGATCTAGATCTAGAATCAAGTGAGTTTAGACTCAACAGTAATACCCTTGTGGGATCAATAAAACTGTAATTTGTCAATTTATGTCTTTACTACTTTGAAGTCAGTATTCCATGAGTAAGAAACGCGAGCGATTCTTGAATTAAAAAGTGGAGACCTCGAACCGTCATTTCAGTTTGGGAAATTTTTCGCTGCATGTCCGACACTAAAGCATAAGCCTAGATTTTTTGTCGAATAACTTTCGATCCACTTTACTTTAACCTAGATTCTCTAAACGGCACTCTTCGAGGGGAAGTGGTCCCGGCTTAACACCATAGAAATAACACTAAGACTTGTAGTCAGAAACAAAAACAGAAGTCGAGTAAAAAAGCTGTCTTCGGTAATTTTTTTTCCTTACTTCGAGTTTAGAATATTTCCCACATTATTTTTTTTTTCATCAATGGCCTTTTCACCCTGGAAACTCAAGCCAGCTTTTTAATCGGCTTCCGTTTTTGTTTCCGATTGCAGTGTTATTTCTACGGAATTAGGCCGGGACCACTTCTCCCGAAGAGTGCCCTCTAAACGATTGACAACCCCGTTTTGTCTTTTCGAGCAAAACTTTTTTCAACGTTACAGATTGGTGTGGAAGGGCACTTTTCTTAGAGAGGCCAGAATATTGCTCGATATGAGTATTGCGGAATTATTTTCTTACGGATATTGATATGTAAATGGGACAAACTGATACAAGACCGGGAACGGTAGCTCGATAACATTAACAATCGGTGCCGTCTGTCTCAAGTCATCCATAAGAAAAGCGTGTCTTTTCATCGGACAGGCTACAGCACGGGCAAAAATAGTTTTGGTGTGGAGTGACATCCCCATTCCGTCCCTCATGTTTAAACCGACTGCGTCAGTGTCATTCTGTTGGTATTAATTTTAAATAACGTTTCCAAGCCCTCTGACCTGGTAACCGTAACAGTTTTGGTCAGGTCCATTTTTCCCCTTCTCTTTCCCCCGATCTCGGAATCTTCGCGGACGCAGTATCATGTCTGGAGAGGAGCAGCCCCAGCCGTTTGCCAGCGACGAGGAGACGGTGAGTTCTCACGCATCCTCAAACCCACACACACGCACGCACCCACCCACACACACACACACTCGCGCGCGCTTGGCAGTCCGACCCGAAATAGGTATATTTCAATTTCATTAAAACATTTCCAGTCGAAAGTCGGGTTTGAGTTGTTTTCTTATTCGTACATTCATATAATATAAGTGAAACAAATTATCGATAAAAGACCAATGCGACAGCCATATACATATATTGTACGCACACAAACACGCGCGCATGCACGCACTCACGCACACACTCAGGAGAAAGAGACAGGACGAGAGAGGGGAGAGAGAGAGAGAGAGAAAGAGAGGGAGAAAGAGAGAGAGAGAGAGTCAGCAGCAATTCCCGGTGTGTCCCGTAGGTCTGCGCTCATAGAAAAAGCTCACTTTGGGCGTGTTTTTTTCCAGTCTAGCGGAAAATACAAATCATCGCCAAACCCTTCGTGAAAGAATAAAAATATTTTGAAAGTAAGGGGCAAAGATGTTGTCACCCCATAACCCCTAATCCCCCCCTCTTTCCCCTCCAACCCACCCTCTTTCTCTCTCTCTTTCTCTCTCTCTCTCTCTCTCTCTCTCTCTCTCTCTCTCTCTCTCTCTCTCTTTCTCTCTCTCTTCCTCTTTCTCTTCCCCTTTCTTTCCCCTCTCTCTCTTCTCTTCTCTCCTCTCTCTCTTCTCTTCTCTCTCTCTTTTTCTCTTCTCTTTTCCCCCCCTCTCTCTCTCTCTCTCTCTTTCTCTCTCTCTCTCTCTCTCTCTCTTTCTCTCTCTAGGTCATTAGAACCAGAAATCCTTCCTCTATAACACACTGATAATCGGCATGAATCGGAAAGAAAGAAAGTTGTTAAAAATGCCGTTTAATGGTATATTATCGAAATTGTCAAATATCGATACCCGATTAGTTAAGAATCGCCCGTCTTATCTCACATCGCAAACATCTTAAACCACTGTACGGGGCTCTGTTCCTTAAAACTTATGTTTGTTATCCTAAATATGGGAATTGGAGTTCTAAACCTAAAGACTTTTAACGGGGAGCTAAAAAAGAGTAGTAATGTACATTGAGTAATCGATACTAGTAGCCACGTGGACAAGCTATTTACAAATGAGAGATGAGAGAAAGTGGTGGTGGGGAAGCAGTAAGAAGAAGAAGAAGAAGAAGAAGAAGAAGAAGAAGAAGAAGAAGAAGAAAAGCCAGCCTTAACCATTACTACACTACAGACCGAAGTACAAACAAACATGTTGGTGCACGAACAAGAACACAGAAAAAAAGACAAGGTGTGAAACTCCGCTCTTCCCGGTGTGTCCCGGAGGTCTGCGCTCATAGATAAAGACGCACTGTGTGCGTATTTTATTTTAGTCGCCAAACCCTTCGTGAAAGAGAAAGACAATCGTTTGAAAGTGAGAGGCACATTAAGTTGTTATCTCCCCATACACCCTAAACACCCCCCCCCCTCGTATTCTCTGTCTCTCTCTCTCTCTCTCTCTCTCTCTCTCTCTCTCTCTCTCTCTCTCTCTTGCTCTCTCTTTCTTTCCCTCTTTCTCTCACTCTCTCTCTGTCTCTCTCTCACTCTTTCTCTCACTCTCTCTCTCTCTGCCTCTCTCACTCTCTCTCTCTGCCTCTCTCCCTCTCTCTCTCACACACCTCTCTCTCTCTCTCTTTCCCTAGCCATCTATCTCTCTCTTTTTCTCTCTCTCTCTCTCTCTCTCTCTCTCTCACACTCTCTCTCTCTCTCTCTTTCCCTAGCCATCTATCTCTCTCTTTTTCCCTCTCTCATTTCTTCTCTCTCACTCTTTCTCTTTCTCTCTCTCTCTCTCTTCCCTCTCTCTCTCTCTCTCTCTCTCTCTCTCTCTCTCTCTCTCTCTCTCTCTCTTTCTCTCTCTCTCTCTGTTTGTCCCTCTCTCGCTCTCTCTCTCTTGTTCCCACTCCCCCTCTCTCTCTCTCTCTCTCTTGTTCCCTCCCACTCCCCCACTCTTCTTCCTCTCTCTCTCTGTCTCTCTCTCTCTCTCTCTCTCTCTCTCTCTCTTCTCTCTCTCTCTCTCTCTCTCTCTCTCTCTCTCTCTCTCTCTCTCTCTCTCTCTCTCTCTCTCTCTCTGTATATTATAATTTAACTCGCTTGGTCACTTGCGTTCAGTCACGGCTTCCATCGCCTTTCTTAGGTTGATTGCACACAACCCCTCGTTTGTGCTCAGAAATAGGAAAAATAATAAAATCGGAAGCGGAAGTTTTCCTTGACTTCCGCCGTGCCGTGTCTCTCATTCGATAGCGAAACCAGATACAGTTGCGAACGTGTCTGTGCCTTGTTGATCTGGGTAATGATCAGAATGCTGTGGTAGTTTTCTTTGGTAGTTTTCTTTGTAGCTAAAAGCTGTGTAGATCTAGATATTGTATCGTATAGAACCTAACAAGACTCTAGGCCTAGACTTGCCTCTCCTTCTAGTTCTTAGTCCCTAACTAATGACCACTGGACACTGCATGCAGTGTACAGGGGTAGTACTGGCCTTTGCACGGTGAGCCTAAACCTAATACTAATTTAGGGTTGTTTAGTGTTTGATTGGAACAGCACACGGTGCTAGAATCTAGATCTTAGTCTAGATCTAGATCTAGAATGGCATTCCCTAACTAGATCAAGATCTAATGGCAATAAGATCTAATGGCAATGGGCACTTTATTCACTAAGTAATGACTAGAGCTAGATCTAGGGTTGTCTTTGATCTAGATCTAGATCTAGGGTTGTTTAGAAAAGATTAACAACCAAGTGAGTTTCCCATATTATTACTAACTAATAATGCTAGGACTTGGCTTTGTACAGCTAGATCTAGGGTTGTTTAGTGGTTGATTGGAAATGTCGCACGGTGAGCCGAACGGTTTTAACTAATTAAAAGTTGGGGGCTCGGATGGCTAAGTAAGTGAGTGGGTCCAGATCTAGTGAGTTTAGACTCAACAGTAATGTTAAGCAAATGTCGGTGTTTGACACCGTTAACCAAACTGCCCCTCTGGGATCAATAAAATTGTAATTTATAAATGTATCTCTTTAATGGTTCACTTTGAAGTCAGTATTCCATGAGTAAGAAACGCGAGTGATTCTTGAATTAAAAAGTGGAGACCTCGAACCGTCATTTCAGTTTGGGAAATTTTCTGCGCTCGTCCGACACAAAAGCATAGGCCTAGATTTTTTGGCGAATAACTTTCGATCCCGTTTACTTTTAGCCTCGTGTTCTCTAAACGGCATTCTTCGAGAGGAGTGGTCCCGGCTTAACTCCAAAGAAATAACACTAAGAGTTTGTAGTCGGAAACAAAAACGGAAGTAGGGTAAAAAAGCTGTCTTCGGTATTTTTTTGGGGTCGTTCGAATTTAGAATATTTTCTACCTTATTTTTTTTCTTCATCGGGTGGCATTTTCATCCTGGCAACTCAAGCCAGCTTTTTTAATCGGCTTCCGTTTGTGTTTCCGATTGCGAGTGTTATTTCTATGGAATTAGGCCGGGACCACTAATTCTCCCGAAGAGTGCCCTCTAAACGCGTGACAACCCCGTTTTGTCTTTTCGAGCAATAGTTTTTCCAACGTTACAGATTGGTGTGGAAGGGCACTTTTCTTGAGAGGCCAGAATAAAATATTGCTCGATATGAGTCAGGCGGAACTATTTTCTTACGGATATTGATGTAAATGGGACAAACTGATACAAGACCGGGAACGGTAGCTCGATAACAATCGGTGTCATCTGTCCCAAGTCATCCGTTAAAAAAAGCGTGTCTTTTCGTTGGACGGGCTACAGCACGGGCGAAAATAGTTTTGGTGCGGACGGACATCCCCGCACGGAACCTCAATTTTTAAACTGACTGCGTCACTGTCGTTCTGTAGGTATTAATTTTAAATAACGTTTCCAAGCCCTCTGACCTCGTAACCGCAACAATTTTGGTCACGTCCGTTTTTCCCCTTCTCTTTCCCCAGATCTCGGAATCTTCGCGGACGCATTATCATGTCTGGAGAGGAACAGCCCCAGCCGTTTGCCAGCGACGAGGAGATGGTGAGTTGTCACGCATCCACAAACCCACACACACAAACACACACACACACACACACACTCACACACACACACACACACACACACACACACACACACACACACACACACATACCCCCACCCCACACACACATTTACTCACCTACCTCGTTGTGTAATGCGTAGGCGGTACTCACACACATACGTCATAGTTTTATAAGCAAGTGTAGAGAAT